TATATATATATATATATATACATATATATATACATACATATATATACAGTATATACATATACAGGCCTCAATTTGGGGATTTTATGGGCAAGGCCAAATGGCCTCCGGTATGACATGATTTTGAAAGGCACCAAGGCCAAAATTTCAAGTATAAAAGGGCACCCAAGGCAAAATTTGATTTAGCCTCAGTACTAATTTCTCGGAAGTGCCTTGATTCGTCGTAGCCAGGCTAGCCAAGCTAGGCCTAGCCAAACCATAGTTGTCAATGGTATTATGACTTTTTTTAGAGTGTTAACTATTAATTATTGATTCAATGTTGGAATATACTGCGGCGGTTGGCGATCGTACAAAACAGTCAAATTTCAAGAAGTTCGATATCTTTGCGTTGTTGCTCAGTCCGTCGTCATCGGAGAGGAAGCCACAACTGCGAAAGCTGCGATGACGTAAGATCGCCCAAAGTTAGCTGTGCAGCAAGCACATGTTTACAACTATACAAAGGCCGTATTCGACTGGTCATTCTTCGTTAAACCACGCCCACCTGCACAGCGGTAACATCCTACTCAACAAAGACGACCAGTCAAATAGAAAATTTGTAAATACTCGACAAAACAAAATGGCTGTATAGTTACCACAATACACGTTGCGTAATCAAGACTGCTTCAACTTGTGGTAGTATGGGTTTTTCGTAAAAAAAAATATTTTCGTCCAGTTTATTTTATTCTGTTTGCCTACGATAATTTTTTGACTCCATGTGGGTAAATATTATAATGTTATTTTATGAAATTTAATCTAAGTTATATTAACGCAAATGTTAAAAAATCACCAATCGGCCATGTTTCCCTTTGGACATGTGGATAACTTAACGCTGATTAACGCACCCTGGTTTACGTTAATTTTCGTTGTCAACGAAGTCCATTTACCGAACCAGTCGAATGAAAATAATACTCAACGAAAATTCGTTCCAACTAAATGAACCAGTCAAATGAGCCCATGTTTATATTGCAATAACCGCTAGAGTAAGACGCATGCGCACACAACGGTAACCGCAAAAACAGTTCGTATCAACACACATGGAAATTCTCTCAAGTTCTGTTCTGTCACTGCAACCTGGCCTAGGCTAGCTTAGGCAACCTACGTTTTTGACTTTCATGTTTTCTTTCAAGATTTAAACGTTCTTACTTAGATTTATTTTACGTGTCAAACGATCTATATTAAGCATCGTGAGGGAACTGAGGCCAAGGCTTCAAAAGGACAGGCAAGTAGTGGCCGTCGCCGTGCTTTATTTTCAGGGGCACCAAGGCGAACTGGGAGGGCACCGTCGGCAATGGCTGCGTTAAAATTTGAGGCCTGTATTATATATATACATATATAAATATATATACACATATATATATATACACATATATATACATATATACACACATATATATATATACACATATATATATATATACACATATATATATATATATATATACACACACATATATATATATACTCATATATATATATACACATATATACACATATATATACATTTATATATACATTTATATATGTACATATATATACATATACATTTACATATACATACATTTATGGTGAGTCGAATGGCCGAGCGGTTAGCAGGGGCGCCGCAAGCTATAGCCATAATATCGGCGCTGGTTCGAACAGCACGCTCATCTATGGTTCTGGTGGTAGAACAAGTCTTCTCAGATAAGGACTATAAACCGTAGGCCCAGTGTATACAATGCCTCGTGTGCACTATAAAGAACCCTGTACATCCTTCGAGACGAGTAGGGGGATACCCCGGTGTACTGGAACAGACAGCCCCTGTGGTGGACGACGAGAGTTGCTGGTACCGGGTTACCGGGTAGCACAGACATGAAGGGACCCTTAGGGGCGAAGAAAGTCATTGATCGAGTCACTAGTCCACATTTCAAGCACCCTGAGCATCTTACATTAGATGGATTTGTGCGCTATATAAAACTACACTATTATTATTATTACATATATACATACATATATATACATATATACATACATATTATACATATATATATGTTTATATATATA